TCATTACTCATTACGTCGGAGAAGTGATCTCAGTATTAGAGGCCGATAAGAGGCCGACGACATACCTCTTCGACTTAAGCGCACACTTGGACTCGAGTGACGCCGAGTATACATACGTTGTGGACGCCTCTCAATACGGAAATATCACGCGTTTTGTCAACCATTCGTGTGATCCCAACTGTCGTATACTCTTCGCGTGGACTAAAGGTTTGGTGAATCGATTCCTGCCGACGGTCGCACTCTTCGCCACTAAACACATCCCATCGCATGAAGAACTCACTTACGACTACTCCATCGATTCAGTGGAACACCACTCCAAAGGACTGCCCGATTCTCCTATTCTTAAACTATATGTCGGCCAAACGTCCGGTCCCTCAACCTCTCGACAAAGTAGGGGTCAGTCGTCCGGCAGTCGTCTCAAAAGGAATGCCGTTTTCCGTGAGGTTGACTGCGAGTGCGGAGCATATAATTGCAAAAAGTTTATGTATTCATGAAAACACTACAAATTCAATGTGAATCTCGTTTATAATATTTTAATTGATATATGTTTTTACTTTTAATCATATTGTTTTATTGATTTTACTATATTGTTACATGATAATTTTAATATTTACTTCTTTATATTGCAATTTTATTCACGTTTTGCTTGAATTTACATATTTCTACAACAAAACTGTAAAATTTTAATTTATAATTATTCACAGTTTTTAAATTTATATATACTGTATTAACATAACTTGTGCTTTGAATATGATTATAAAAATACACTTCAAATGTTTCATTTATTTACCAATAATAAGGTTTCAATCGGTGTTTTGGGGATAATTGTTGAATATCTGATATTATTTCCATATATTTCCCCCAAAAATGGCAAAAATATTTTAGGATAAAAATATCGATAGATTGGAAACAAATCAGTCATAAAAATGGCAAATATTATGAATATAATAGTATAACTATTTTATCTATAAATTTCTATATCGTTATAAATTGAATATTTTGTAGACATTGACATAACATTCACTGAACATAATTCACATAATTTCTAAACTACATCACAAAAGCTCTGGGCTTTGAATATAAGACATTAAAACAAACGGTTTTGAAGTATTGAAAGTCAGAACTTATTTGATATAAGAAAACATCTAAATTTATAATTGTGTTAAAAATGTAAATAAATTCTGAATTATAGTTCAAATCGTACGGTAAATATGTTGTTGACTAATAATACATCTTATATTCTGTTTAAATTATATTCAAAATTGCAAATTAAATGAATTGAATATAATTTGTTGTGAACCTTATGAACACAAAGAATCAAAAGTGTGGCTCAAAATAATAGGTTAATACCGGTATATTTTAATGTATAATTAATTATATTATATTTATGTGTATATATACTGTCGAACGGAAAATAAAATTTAAATTTTAAAAACAAATTCACGGGTTTGTCCAATATATTACATATTGATTACATATTTGCGATGAAATGAAAATTTGAATAAAATATTTATACTGTAGTTATATTAATGCAAATAATCAGTGAATGATTTGAAAATATATTTTAAACACAAAATGCAAATTAAATGCAAACCAAATGTTTGGTCATTTGTGATCGATTAAGAACTGATCGCCATCTCTAACATTATATGTGTATAACTTCTTTTGATTGAAGCGCAACAATTCCGGCCCTATTAGGTCCGACATCTCGCTGTCCACATAAAACACACGCATCCGAGTGGGAGACACACCGAACATAGACCTGTGACCACACAATACCGTTATTTACATTTTAATCAATGTTTACAAAACAGTTTTAACACAAACCCTAATTCAGATTTGAAATCTCCGACCGATTTATTTAAATCTAATTTCAAATTTTTAGTCTGAATTTTGTCGTTGTCTTCATTCGTTAAATCTATCTCTTCGTCTTCATTATAGACCACTTCGACGTCCGCGTGCTTTGGAGGCGAGAAATCCAATTCTGCCAACGGATCCACTCTTCCGTGAATTGATTGTAACGCATAAAATCTTCAGTGAAATACAATACAATACAAAATGTCAATACAAATCATTACATTTAATGAAATCAATTCAATGTATTTGAGTGAAAGCACTAACTTTTGAGGCTTTTCTATGTGTTCATTGATGACATACCACCGAAGGAAAGCCTTTTCAGCAAAAACTCTTTCATCTCCACTGATATCACCGCCATTTAGGCGTTGAATATTAGGTAATCGTGCGATTAGATGATGGCGTCGACTCTCTGTCTCTTCAATATGATTAAGAATATGAAGTCCTTGACAGCGAAGTTGAGTTAGTTTTGGCAAATAATTGAGTCTTTCGATGCATTGCCACGAAATGATGGGCCAATTGGTTATATTAAGACTTTGCAAATTCGGCAAATAGTTAATGGCGTCTTCAGGTATGGACGAGATATTGCAATCAGCCATCGATAAGCCCTCAAGACATGGAAAGGCTCGCATCAGTTTCTTGATGTCCTCCCAATCGGACAGCTCTGGATTGCCGCTAATGTATAGGTACTTAAGGTTCGGATATTTGTGGCCCGAGTTTAACTCAATGGATGAATAATTATTAAGACTGAGATGTAAGTCATCGATACGCGGCATAGAGTCGAGCAGAATGTTGAGCGCATACCACGGGATGCGGGTATTGTTCAGCACAAGACTCTTAATGTTTTCAAACCGGTGTTCGTCTAGACTTTCGATATTACATTTGGATAAATCGTTTTCACTTAAGTTTATGAATCGCAAGTTAGGCATCGATCGCGTGATTTTGTAAATCTCTCGCATATCGATAATGCAATTTGAGGCCAAATCCAGTTCCTCGACAGTGGCGCACAACTCGCGGATCTTTTTCTCAGAGCCCGCGCTCTTTACGTGACATTTGTTGAGCGAAAGCGCCGGAGGAAGGATTAAATGATTGCCTGAAACAGAGTTTATATAAACCAATACATTGTTATTATAACATATAAATATAGTGCACAACATTTATCATTAATCTAAATATACAGTAATGTTATTAATATAGAACTTATTCTAAAGTCTAAATATTTGCTCCAATTATTTGAGTCAATATTTTGTCAGTTATTTTATATACAAAAACTGAGTGACAGATCATCACTACTATTGTACTACTCTTACTGTTATTTCTATTTAAATTCAAATTAAATTCAAAATTCAAATGAATTAAAGAGGGTTTGAATTGTTTGCAATTATCGGTAAAATAATAAAATTGTTGACAATTGCAGCCAATATTTGCCCCCAATATAACAATTTTGAAACAAGTAATGAGTTTTATGTATTTTCATGTAACTTAATATGCCTTAAAGTACCGCTTGGTATCACATTAAATAATTATTTTCTAAAAGGCTAACAATTTTATAACAATACACAAAGTGTCCGAAAAATATTTATAAAATTAGATAATCTATTATATTATATGACATAACAATAGATAATGAGTAAATGTTATACTCTATGCACTCAACAGACATGGAATTTGGTAAAAATAATATCATTTAATATTGTTTGCCAGTGATTTAAGTATTTCTGTTAATATGGTATTTGTAATGATTCATTACTAATGAATATATAATCGACAACTTATTCAATATTTCAATACAAGTTGTATCCGATCGTAAAATATACAAAATATGAGTACTCTATACTGCGTTAAGCCTTCAATATTTGTTCACAAAAAATTTTTGTTATAAAAAGTTGTGTAAATAAATGCATTTTCCAGTCATTATAATGATTGATAATTAATGACACTATTCTGATGGAATTCTCTTTTTATTGTTACTAAACAATGAATTTACTTATTGATAGGTTTAGTATAGGAATTAAATTCAAAGTCAAATATACAAACATTTGTTAAAATTAAAATCAAATGCATGTTTATTATTAAAATGAATAAAAAGCAGAGCACTTGCCATAAAAGTTATACAGAATTTACAATACCTTGTTATTTACTGTTATATCAAACAAAAACATTGAGACCTATCATAATTAAAAGCCGAATATTCTCACCGACATAATTTTATTACAATATCGTCTAGAGCTGAACAATTATAATTTGTTCAAAAATAATTGCATTACACTATAAATTAAAGGTAAGACGAATAGTAATAGATTATTGTGTAGTATTCGTGAAATACAATATAATTGCATAAGTAATCACTAATCAAACACACATAATGCTAACTTCACTTAATAATAGTAAAATATGTGTAACATTGGAAGGAAATCACATTCAAAATGTAATAACGATATCAAAAATATTAACAAAACAATTACAATGTTATTTATGTGAAGTGTGTAAATTAAGTCATTATTAATTGCTTGTACTAAATAACAGTACAATTTAGCAAATTATTTTTATTAAAATATAGTTTGATACTAAAATATGCTTAAAATTCAATTATAGCCATAATTTGATTAAATTTTCAATAATAATAATCTGTTTTCTAAATAATTACTGAATTAATTAATTTGTCAAAATTTATTTGCTATTTGAGTGACAACTTGGAAGCAAAAGAGCAATAAAAAGTAAATGCTCTCAATATGTGTATACAATTGGAAATCACAATACTATGGGATATTATGGGATAACAGTTATACTGTTGTAGGAAATGGAGACAATAGTGCTGTCAATTGATTCAATCATTTACATTGATATTCACTCTTAAGGTTATAAACCAAATGCAATTCAATTCACTCAACAAATATATGCATTCATCCAATGATTTAATTTAATACAGTTATGGCTTATCGTAGACTCGTATAAGAAATCCCAGACATAGTTGACATACAAATCGCTCAAAAAAGCTAAGGATTTTAAAAAAATTAGGGAAAGCTTTGCAAAGGATATGAGATATAAATAAATAAATAGAGCACTAAAATGACGCTTAATATACAAAGGCTTGAGATATGCAATCAGTTTTGTAATCAAAACCATGTTTTTAACGTAAACATCAAAACGACAACAAAAAAGACAATAAAAATACTGAATCATTAAAACAATATTCATGTGATTGAATGCAAATATGAAAAATCATATGATTTGCAGGTATTGTGCAATACCTATGGTGTATGCGATATAACAGCAACTTTTGATAATTGCTGTAAATGTGAATACAAGGCATCAATTGTTAGGCAATTAATGAATACCTGATTTATTTCCGGGCGAAACGCCTCCGACGACAAACACTTCGTACGGACAGTCGTCCAACTCGTAGTCCTCATACCTCTGCAGCAATACATCCACTAATGTGTTGAAAGACATTACCATTGAGTCCAAAGAGACCAACGATTGACGCGATTATTGTTATTATTATCAAAACATTTAACGCAATAAAAGTCAAACAGTAATACAATTCAAGGCTTTAATCGTATCATTCACTCAATACATGGCTTTTTGCAGTCAATTGTTTTGCAAATATATTAATTCAATGTTTAAAATGTGTATCAATTGATATGATATGCACTCGAGAGCTATGTTTGCCATAAAAACGGTTTAATTAAAAGTAATTTGCAATTAACTAGTGTTTCGCGAAAATACGTTTTGCACTGCATTTCATAGCAATCACTAAAATGTACTCTTTTTCTGGTTTTCACTTCAATTCTCATTATTTCTCTCTTTTATGTTATTTTTATTTTCACGTAATGTTTACAACACTAATACAGCTGTTGTTCAATACAGAAAGTACGGCAACAACTTTGCAATTATCAACACTTTTTAGCACTTTATTAATGCTTCAATATTACCGTTATGTAAATTTAAGAAATATTTTATTTCATATTTGAGCATGGTACTTGCATTTGTAATCATCCACTATTACTGCAGATTTCATTCTAACGAACACACTGTAGATAATTAGTTATATAACATTAGGCCAAGTTTTTATATCATTCAAGTATGATATATTGCCATCCTTGCGATATATTAGAATGTTACATTCTGAATGTACATGGTAATTTATTCACTAACTTTGTTTGATTATGGTAACAACATTGTAATTCAATCCAACCACGTTCTGTAGTGAACAAAGTGCTGAAAATGTTTTCATTTCTATTATTAAAAAATATTTTTATATTGTATACACTATAAAAACTTGAGTTGCAAAATGTAAAAACTACACTTAAATTGATCAATGATCATTTAACAATTGAGTTAATCATATTTAAATATGTTTGCTATGTATTTGAATTGATCTATTTTCTTTATAATGTCAACTATTTAAGGTATTTCTACTTGTTATACAGTAATTGAATTGTTATAATAAATAATATACAAGCGAGTAAATAAATATTCATAATAATTATGATTGTGGTTAATTTAAATTTGAATTGTCTATATGTGTGCGTAAAATATATATTCTGGTAATAGTATGATAATTGATACAGTAATGCTCATATATCACTGGTTATATAATACCGGGTTCATACCCCCATATATCCTGGTAACTTTTATTCAATCTATTAATTATATTTCTTATAAAATTAATGATCATATTTTCTCCTCTTATGTAATGTTAAATATTATTATTAAACATTTTAAACATATTATTATTATTGTTATATTGTCTTCATATACTTTAGATATAAAGATATAATATGTAAGTTACATGTTATAAAAATGCCTGTAATTACAATTATTGAATAATAATTGATATTTTGAATGTAAAGCAATAGGCATTGAATGCGAGTCGAGTCTTATGATCGCAATTTCAAACATTTGCTAACAATTTCTCTCAAATGTGTTGTAAAGTGAATGTAGAGTCAAATGCAATGGAATTTATAATTTAATAAATATTATGTTTGAGTTAAACTTCAAGTGCAGATAATTAGCATCTCTTTCAATCTGTATTTAATATAAAGTGTGACTAAAAATAGCGCACATTATAAATATTGTCTGCAAATCGTGTGAAACTATATTTACATTCATTTGATCGGAATTTCAAGTCTATTAAGAAGTGTTACAAAACTTTTTTGTTCGTTACGATAGGAATCATCAAAAGCCTAACAAAACACACGAATACGTGTTTCTTATGATTATTATGATTACAGAGTATTTTGTTTGAAATGAATTGAATATCAACTCATTTTTTATGTTCATTGATATCAATACATATGTATGAATGGTATGTATTGGCGGTGCGAGTGATTGAATGGTAGGGACTGGTAGTGACAGCAGGACTGAGTCAGGACTGACGCGCAAAGAAGTGCTCCAACAGTGGAGAGAGTGATTGCGTGGTTGCGAGCCGTCAGATGGTGGCAGTGGTGGCAGCGGTGGCACAAACTCACCCACTCTTCCAACAATAGCCAGATCTCCCTTTCATTCACTATTCAGCGCTTAATTTACATTCAATTCAATACAATTAACAAATTGAGTGCATTTCAGGCCGAGAGCCGTACACTATGTGTGGCCCGTGGGGTGCGATCGGGTGCTAAGTGGCCGGCCGTGCGGTTGTGGGACACTTGTGGTGGGCTGTCGTGAGGGGGCTGTCGGTGGGAATGAACGTGTGGTTGTACTGTATGTGGTGTAGAGTACAGAGTAGTGCTGTATTGGTACACATAGTGTACATATTGGTGGCAGTGTTGGAGTAGTGTTGTATGTGTTGTACTGCCACTACTGCCACTACTGCCACACCCATACCATCCATACCGAACCCAAGCCAACACAAGCCATACCCATAGCATAGGCTGTGAGAGCGAGTGTGAGTGTGAGTGAGTGTCTGGAGTGGAGAGTGTGTGTGATATACAGTATTAGTGTTGGCATCGAATTGAATGCATTGTAGAAATGAAATGAAGTTTTGATCGCATAGTGTATACAGCAGTGAAGTGAAGGACATTACATACAGACGTATTGACCCAACCATTCAATACCCATTCAATCCATACATACATCCCATCTCTCAATGAATTACGGTCTCTGACGACCAGCACGTCCTCCGCAGACCTGACAAGACATCCGCCGACTATGCCATCGATGACCAGAGGTGTGCCGCCGACCGCCGAGCCATCCCTTGCATAGCATTAGCCAATCACCAGTTGATGGCCTCCGACGGCAACCAAACACTACAACACCTTTCATGTGAGGCATCGCCCGATGTGTTGCCACTATTGCCAACCATTACACCCATTGATATCATCACTACTACCACTACTACCACGACTACCACTTCCACTATTTATAAGTTATTTGTATTATTATTATTAAATCAGTTATACTTTTAACCGCCGCCACAATCGCGTCAATCATATAATCAGCTCATTATCACATCCGACACCACAAACACCACTCAATTGTGCGCTATTTTGTATCAATGATTACATGGACTCGTGTTTCGCCCACTCATTGCTGAAGACGTCCTCAAATCGACAGCAAAACAGCAATTGGTTTTCGAGAGAGCATTGATTGCAACGATTTCAACAATTGGCAGAAATATCGGCTCCGATTGTGTGTGTGTTTGTTGTTGTGTTGGTTTAAGTGGTGACCACTTGAAGCCAACACCTCACGAGCCCTTCAAGACGGGGATCTCAGTTATGGCCTGTTGTCTGAGCGAAGAGGCGAAGGAACAGAAGAGAATCAATCAGGAGATTGAACGCCAGCTCCGCAAAGACAAACGCGATGCCCGACGGGAACTCAAACTACTCCTTCTCGGTCTGTCTCTCATTACATCCCATACCATACATACCATCCTTTCCCTCCATCTGATTGTATAAACAGATCCACTCATTGTCTCTAACCATTGTAACCATTGTTTGCAAAACTAGTCTCCATTTGCAGATAGATTGACATGCATTGAACATATTATCATTGATTTGGTTAATTGTAGTGATAGTTGTGGTCATATATATATTGGTATGTCTTGAGTGATGTCTGAAGCGCAGCCATATTTGCCATGCAATACAGTCTGCCTGCAGATGAAGGCATGCATTCAAACAGTGATAGTTTGAGTGTCTATTCAAACAATTTTATTACAATTATTACACAATTTTATTGTTTATTCAAATTTAAACCCATTTCGCTATGTATTGGATCCCAAAAGCTTTTTATATACACAACATTTTGCATTCATTTCATATATGTTTGTCTTTGCGTTAAATATATGTAGATTTTATTAATTACTCCGAAAAAACTTTTCATTCGTTTCCTCCAATTGTTCATTGAATTGGTTTTTAGTTTAGTTTAGGATTGTATCGTAAATGACAGACATTTTGATAGATATCTAGCAATTAATTAAGTTTTTTTAATCAAACAAATTGATTGATTAAATGATTGATTGAAGATATAGTTATTAATGTATTATTGAAAAGTATAGTAGTTTAGAAAAAGTAATACAATTTTACATTTAATTAATTTGCAGTGATATCTATATTAGTTATAATATAACGAAATAATAAATACGAGACTTATATTTGAAATGATTTATCAAAAAGCGATAACATATTTGATAAGAGAAAATGTATTTATTTGTTCTCATTATAAAAGCCGGTATTAATTAAATGACAAATATTTTGGTCTCTTCTCAATAGTTATGCATATGATTGCGATTAAAATGCTGTTTAGTTTTTGTCAGTTTATATGCAATCCACTCAATGTGTTTCATAACTTGTTAATTGTTTTAGTGTTTAGTATTAATAAATAACTTTCAATTAGAAAACAAACAAAACTCGAGAATTGAAGTCAAATTTTCAGTGTTTAAAAAAATTCAAATAGAGTTTCGCTTAGATTTGTTGAGACAGTTATGCAATGTTTGTCTTATTTATTGAATTATATTCAATGTATTAATACTGTAGTTATGATCCTTAAGAATGAATTGCTTTGATTTTTGTCATATAATTTATATTTCTCGTATGAGTTGGACTTTCTTTAAGCACTTTTCCATTTGTTTGGTTTTTGTGTTAAACATATACTGTATTTTTCTGCACATCATTTTGAATTGAATATGTTTTATGTAATTATGATTAACATTATATGGTTTGTAGTGTTCAGTATGTGTTGATATAAGCATTGTATTTATCTTTACTTATTTTAGCGTTTGTTTCAAAGCCTTGATTCCTAAACGAAAGTGTTGTAAAAATAGTGGGGAATAGTCTTCGCTATAATTGATTGCAAAACAAAATTTAAGACTATTTTGTAATTCAAAACTAAACCAAACTTTGAGTGGAAATGAAAAGCAAAGACAAACGCTATAATACACGACTCAATAATCAATAGAAATAATAGAGACATTGAAAATAATGGATATTTATGTTTGGATTTGTTTCAGGCACTGGAGAGTCAGGAAAGAGTACATTCATTAAACAAATGCGAATAATTCATGGATCGGGTTATTCGGACGAAGACAAGAGAGGGTTCATAAAACTCGTTTATCAGAATATCTTTATGGCTATGCAAAGCATGATTAAAGCCATGGATTTGCTCAAAATCCCTTACAAAGACCCCAGAAATTCAGTGAGTATTTGAATGATATAATAATTGTTGATTTGTGTTTTAATTGTTGTATTAATGATGTGCTAATCACCCCATAGGACGCCGCAGAGTTAGTCCGTTCTGTAGATTACGAAACTGTCACCACATTTGACAGCCCTTTCGTAGAAGCGATTAAACAGTTATGGTTTGACTCCGGTATACAAGAATGCTATGATAGGAGGAGGGAGTATCAGCTCACAGACTCTGCCAAATAGTAAGTGTCCGACACGTGTTTCTATGTCTATACTGTAATGATTACCATAATTACAATGATTGTCCATTTGTGGTACAGCTATCTGAGCGATGTCGATAGAATCGCTGCCACCGATTATTTGCCTACACAACAAGATATTCTTCGAGTCCGAGTGCCTACCACTGGCATCATTGAATACCCGTTCGACTTAGACTCTATCATATTTAGGTGAGTGCTCTCAATGTGTTGCTCAGTGTTGTCGTATGACTAATGGTCTGATGTGTCGCACAGAATGGTAGACGTGGGCGGCCAGCGGTCGGAGCGGCGGAAATGGATCCACTGTTTCGAGAACGTAACTTCAATTATATTCTTAGTCGCCTTAAGTGAATACGACCAGATTCTGTTCGAGTCAGACAACGAGGTCAGTCCACTCACTAAACAATAATCCACTTATTCTGTGTTTTAATTGTATTTTTGATTGTTTTTGTCTAAACGATAGAATCGAATGGAAGAAAGTAAAGCATTATTCAAGACGATAATCACATATCCGTGGTTTCAAAACTCTTCAGTTATTCTATTTCTAAATAAGAAGGACTTATTAGAAGAAAAGATAATGTATTCCCATCTCGTCGACTACTTTCCTGAATATGACGGTTAGAATCATTTGAATCACTTTTCATAGCATTTCCATTAATGTGTTACTCATTGTTGTTAACAAAAACATTTGTGTTTACATTGAGTTTTAGTATAACAAGTGACAAGTTTTGGATTTTATTTTTTTAATGATTACAATTTATAACACAATACATTATGTATAGTAGTCTCTACATTATGTGGCCTCTGTGTGTAATGAGTTGTTAATCAAAAAGTAAATTTATGACAAAATATGATTTTTTTATTTTGTTTAATAATTACAAAATTGTCTGATTTATATACTTTTATGCATTAATTAATGCAATTCTCAGAAACTAAGTGATGAAAACATTTTCAGAAATTTCACTTGAAATACATTTAGTTTTTATGAATAGTGTGACAGTAATTGTCATACTATTGGTTGACTGTTGTGCTTAATTGTATTGATTTGTTGAGTGAATGATTACCTAAACTAATAACTAATGATTTGATGTGATTGTATGGCATACTATGGCACATGTGGTGACGGACTGGAACTGTAGGGCCAAAGAAAGATGCGATTCACGCGCGAGAATTTATTCTAAAGATGTTTGTCGACCTCAACCCCGATAGCGAAAAGATAATATATTCTCATTTTACGTGTGCAACAGGTATGCAATGATTGATTGATTGATTGATTGGATCCATTGATTACATTGACTGATGTATTGTTTGTATTGCAGACACTGAGAACATCCGGTTTGTATTCGCCGCCGTAAAGGATACTATACTTCAGCTTAATTTAAAAGAATATAATTTGGTTTAATAGTCATAAAGTGATGTTTTAATTGAAACAAATTGTATTTGAATTGAAAATAATTAATAATTGAATGAAACGAAGATCTGTTGAGAGGATTGTGAAGATGTGAAAAGAAGAAAGCATTTAAAAAATTGTAAATTTGTTATAATTGTGTTTATAAGTGTCAGTCAATGTGTGCGCCAACGCTTTGATGAGCAATACATGGACTGGTATTATATGGGACTGCGGTGTGAGTTGAGTGCCGGACCGTTTGCATCGCTCCATCTCTCCATTCAATGCATAGGCCATACTATGAGTGCAGCTCTTTGTGCAGTAAATGGATTGAAACCAAAACATAACTAACAAAAAACAGACAAATAAACAAATTGACTGAATTTGAAATAATTTACGGTTAAGTACTTGTATTACACACTCATTGTGCACATCAAACCATTTGTATTCGCCATCAATTCAAACCAACTCTCAGACACTCACAACTCGGGGACTCAAAAACTATAACTAAATTTTAGTGCAATTTTTGTTTAATTTGCAACAAAATTGAGACTTTCCTCTGAACCGACAAAAATACGATAACAATTCAATACAATATAATTTCTCTTCATTTGCTTTTCAACGCATTATTTGATGGACTGATCGATGGACTCATTTTACAGTGTTTTTTAAATTTGATGGATCCGTTTGATTGGTGCCAAACAAATCAAATACAGCTGAAAAAGTCGCCGCTTTTAATATAAATTTAAATTAATTTCTTTCCTTTTGTTTTTTTGGTCATAAGTTACTCTTTTATGAAATTTAATATTAATTTAATGTTTAATTAACGAGTGATACAAATCTACCGAAAAGACAAATGACTTTAATATTTGTTGATTTTTTTCACACTAAAAAAGTTTTACATTCATTGAGAAAAAGTACTGATTTTTTGGTGTATTATAAATATTTCTTATTTAAAACAATGAAATTTTCTTAATTTAATTTTATTTAATTTTTTAAAATTCATTTTTCACTGGCAGCCAAAAAAAACAAAACAAAAATCTGTGTAACTTTTGAGTTAATTTTTTTGCACTTATATTATGTTAAATTAGTTCCCAAATGAAGTCCACATCAGTTTTCATCATAAACTGCTGTTTTTTGATAAATTTTACGAAAATATTATAATTATTTAACATTTTTTGCTTAAATTAATTGAAATACAAAATAATCTGTAATATTGTTAATAGAGATGAGATGAATAAGAGAGACAAACACACCGGTAGTGCATGTAATGTACAAAACTTTTATCAAAATAATGTGTTCTTTATCTGAATTGACTTAATTTGTAGCAAACAGTGCCAACAAAATAACATTTTCAATACAACAGCCAAAACTAACTGTGCTTTTCTCTCAAATATATCCATCAAACGGTGCTTTTGTTTCAAAGTAACTGTTGATTGCTTTTATCCATATTTACATTAATTATCCGACAATTACTAGTAATTAATTGGTTATTGATTACCAACAAAACGCCGCTTTTGACAAAACTAACAACAAAACTAATATCTCAGTTATTCTCAAATTTTCACTATAAAAATACATCAAATTTTTTTGTAAAACTTTGACAACAAAAACAAAGAAAACTTTTAATTATGGATTTTATGCAGAATTGCTTTTTTCAAAAAACAAAATCATATGTACAGTGCGTTCAAAAAAGTTTTGTTTTCTTTTAATTCATTTCAATTCGATTTAAATATAAATATATAAAAACTAAACCATTTTAGGGATTAATAAAATTTTCATTAAATCGATTTCTATATGAATTTTAAATGTAATTTATTTAACACACGTCGAGTGACTCGACTCGAGTCCCATCGCATCACTCAAAATAGTTTTAAAGCTATCGGTTTTTTATTAACAATTACTAACAAAATAACTTTTATTACATAATAATTGCTTATTAATTGCGCAAAAAATTACTGTGAATTTATTAGACTTTAGACTTACGCTCAATAGGTTTATGAATGTTATATTTCGCAAACTTTTTTGAATGTAACTGTACTTCAATACGAATTCACAATTAGAGTTCATTTCTAGTTATATTCTAGTTATGTTCTAGTCATATTATTTTTGCAGAATTTTTAATTTTCTAAGTTTTTAATTGAAGATATTTATAAACAATATAATGAACCGTGTGTTTAGTTGGAGGCAATTGAATGCAACCATTGGTCACTGCATTTCAAGGAAACCGTGCTTCCAGTTTCCAATTACCCATCGCTTACCACCAATTGTCTTACGATCGCATCGATTGTGCACTCAATTCAGACAAACAATTCTCACTTTTCTTTCGCAATGTTTTCA